GCGATCTAATGGATTAGTGACTAAGGATTTTACCTGAGTTTATTAGTGGATTCCTCCTGGATTCATGTAACAGAGGAGTTTATTTGTGCTTATAACCAAATTCCTCTTGTTACCTCTGGATTTATTTGATTGAGGAGCTTACCTGTGTTCATTACTGGATTTCTCTTGTCACTACCTGCAGTCTATTTTGCTCTATTGACTTGTACTCCAGTCTTAAATATTGCTTCATGTGTTTCAGTATGATTTATGGTTACTGTGTAACCGTTCACATTTGTTACTTTTTATGTCTGCTAGCTACCATCTTTCAGCTTTGAGGATGATTCAGCCTTGGGTGGGGTGGGAGTCACGCATGTCAAAACGTTCTCATGTTTTAATGTATCACTCATGGAAGTTATTGCTTTAAAATAGGATTATCATGTGTTTGTATATAATGTGCAATAAAGGATTTTTGTATATTTTTTTCATGAGCCTATAGTCCCTTTTCTCTTTTTCTATTTTCATTGTCATTTATGGGTGGATCATGAGTTTTATCTGATCGCACATGGATATGTACATTAAATGATCAGTGGGCTACCATTTTTTATTTGTATTTTTGTGACAATGTATTGTCTACTCAGAAAGATGGGTGCAATCAAAAGGCTAGAACCCTTTCAGTCTGTTGTCAATGAAACCGATGATATAGAAATTAAAGACAAAAAATGACAGTGTAATATGCAGAAATAATGTATAGCGATTAGAGTAATATACTTGCTGCAAAAGCATCATGGAGGATTAGAATTAAGTAAAGACGATGAGGAGGATGAGTGAGGAAAAGTTGGTGGTAGATGGTTGAGGCATTGTGTTTGTAGGGAAGCAGCAGTGGTAAAAAGGGAGAACTCGAAGTAAGACAAAGACAAAGGTACGTTTCTTTCCATCTCCATCTTGTAAATGAAGTGTAGGTGGGTACTCCAGGGAGAAACCTATCTTGTTGCAGAACAATGTAGAGCAAACCTACACAAAAGCCTTCCTTTTGCAGCTGACTTCAGAGGAATAATCGGCAAAGATGAGGAGCTTGTGACCCCTCCACTTGACATGAGCCAAAGGTTTAGTGATCACCACATAGAATCACCATCTTGTCATTGTAGTCTAAATATCGCATGATTACTCACGCCGTATAGGATTGGATGACTTTTGCCGGGCCTACCCGGTATGCTCTTTCCACTGTGCACTGGTTCTCAATGCCCAGCATAGATGGCAAGACCTGTGTGCACCAGAAGGCCCACTATGCAAAGGTTCTCAAAAGTGGGTCGCAACCCCATGTTCAGTGGGTCGCCACATGCCTTTCACTACGCTAGGTGAGAGGCTCCTCAGCCTCCCCAGCGCTGTCAGTTCTCAAGCTGAGCAGCCATTCAAAAAATGCTACCCGGCACCGAGTGTCAGCTTGAGGTGGGGTGGGCTAGGAGTATGGCCCCGAGGGAGCCCCATCTATACGTGCATTGCTTGCAGCTCCCTCACCTGATCTGTAGAGGTGCCTGGACCGGAATTACATCACATTCTGGCTCCCAGCTCCTCTACAGGGCACGCAAGGGAGCTGTACAAGCAATGCACAAATGGATGGAGCTCCATCACAGGACAGCAGCCCACTCTGGACCCCAGGCTGTGGATCCACTCCAGTTCTCGTAAGGTAGGGAGATTGGGTGGATCTTTAAAAAAAAATTACTTTCTTTGGAGTGTGTATGTGTGAGAATATCTGTGAGTGTGTGAGATTGTGTCTGTGGTTGTATGTGTCTGTCAGTGTTTTTATACACATTTTGTTTTTGGACCATTAGCAACAAACTGGGTTATCTATATCATTAGCAGACAATTTAGTTATTTGATGCATAATGCAATGTACTCTTAATTCTTGAAGATATATAGGTGAAAATTAAGAGGAAGTTAAAACTCCTGATTATAGGGGCTTTTCTTACCAACCGCTGGAGAAGATTTTTTTTGACCTTCAAATATTGTCAGGCATAAAAACCATATTGTTGTATATCACACTGGAACACACCGCACAGCATTTTTTATATTTTAATAGTTCTTTTGTGTGTTAAATTCTTTTGAAAATATGTTTTCACATTAGTTCACAGAAACAGCTACTAGGCAAGAATACAGTTCTTGTGTAATCACATATTATGAAATCACCTCATACTTTTGCTAAACTATTGTATATATATTTGCACTATATTATAGTAACATAGTAGGTAAGGTTGGTTAAAGACAAGGGTCCATCCAGTTCAACCTATGTGTGTATGGGTGTATGTGATTCTGTGTTTGTATTTATATGGCTCTAGCACTGCCAATATTTTTGTATACGAAGTAAAACAAGAAACTCCTTAAGAAGTTTCTGGAATTTATTAACGCTATCGGCAGATACCACTGTCTGTGGAAGGGAATTTCACAACTTTCACAGTAAAAAAACACCCTATGAATTCTATGATTGAACCCCCTTTTCTTCCAACCTCCTGTTGTGTCCCTGTGTTCTCAATACAGTTTTCGGATTAAACAGTTCGTTCCGCATATTGTGGTCCCCATTGATGATTTTGTAGACTGCAATAAGTCTCCTCGTAATCGCCCCTTTTCTAAGGTAAATACGTTTATTTGCTGAAGGCGGTCTTCATTACTCTTTTATTCCTTGCTAAAATCCCTCTTTTAATGCGCCAGTATCTTGTTTCCTTTGCTGCCTGCTGCTTGGCATTGCTTACTATTGTAATCTGTGATTTATGAGCACCCCTATAACCTCTATAATTATTTTACATTTCACTACACATAATGTGAAATACTATACACGTAACTGCTAGCATTTCCCTATCCACTGAGGGACATGTCTTGATGATAATTAAGCCACATAGGAATTATACTGCCTCCTACAGACACTAGGCACATAAAACTGAAGGCCTTCCCCTTTTAAGACTATAACCCCTTCCACCTGCTCAATTTCTATTAATGTCCTCCTTTTTTAATACTCAGGCTGTATTCTCTTATATCAAACTATATGTACATCCGTTATTACTTATTATTGTAATATTACTTATTACTTATTACTGTTATTGTAATATTTATGCCTCTTTCCCTTCTGGTGAGGATGCAGTGTAGAATGGGGGGCAGCACATGCCCTGGTCCTGTACCGGTGCAGGTGAGGGAACATGAGCCTTTCTTCTCCCTTGCCACCTGCGGCTGTTGTCATATGACCAATTCCCTGGGACACGCATGTAGTTGTCATATGACCAATTCCCTGGGATTGGCATGTAGTTGTCATATGACCAATTCCCTGGGACTGGCATGAAGTTGTCATAAGACCAATTCCCTGGACCTGGCACGCAGTGATTTTGCAGTGCTTAGAGGCATCTTGTGCCATACATGAGCTGGCTGAGCATGTACCTTGGCATCCTTTTGTCAGTGCAGGGGGAATTGGATTATACATTGATTTCTACTTATGACAAGGAAGCTTAGATATGCAGTTTGAAATAGAGCACTGTCACTTGGTGCTCAGACTTCACCTGTTCAAATTGTCTGTTTTTAATGGTATGTGCCTTTTTTCCCTGGAAACAACAAACAAATGTAAAAAAAAGGTAATCTGGGACATACTGTATGTTTGCTAGCTGGTTTGCTTGCTCCTGGATTCCAAAAAAAGTTGCACTTGTTGCATTTGTCTCTAAGTTGCAGACAGAAGATGCAGCAGATACCTTGTCAGTGTTGTTGGATCAGCATACCCTAATTACATCTTTCTTCTGCTGTTAGTTTTTCTTTGATGGATTAAAAGCAAGGGCATTCCAATCTTTCTCATAGCTCATAATTGGCCTGAAAGAGTTTAGTACACCAACCTTGTTGTCTTGTAGTTGATGTGCTGTTGCCTCTGCCAGATCTCTTTTCCCAAGGACCGATCCTCCACACTGGTTCCAATCCTACCATGCTTGAAGCTTGCAAACTTACTTCCGAAATGATGTAATTACGGCCAGTGGAAATCCTTTGGGGATTTTCCACATGTGTTTTTTGATTGGGATGTATTCTTTCTTTTCCTCAGTTAGGAGTAGTACAACACTTAGCCCTTAGCACTTCCAGGGTCAGGTATCTGTCCTGTTTTTTCCTTTTCTTTGTCCTCCATTGTTATCTCTTGTTGCCATCACTGCAGCTAAAAGGGTCTCCGAATTTGTAACTTTGTCTTATAAGGTTCCTCATACCATTTTTCAAAAATACAAGGTTGTTTCTTTTTTAGACCAATTACCTTTTTTGTGAAAAGTAGTGTCTGCTTTTCACCTGATGGCGATATGTTTACCTTTGTTGTGTCCAGCTTGGGTTCACCCCAAGGAGATTTCTCTTCATTGTATGGATCTGGTGAGGGCCGTCAGGGTTTTTGTCTTGGCCACTTCTTCTTCTAGGCAGATGGATTTCCTGTTGTTATTACAGGTCCACTATTCTTAGAGGATTTGACAGGTTGTTGTGCAGTCCTGCTAGTTCCAAGATAATTACCTCTTTTTCCTGTTAAGACCGCTCTGCTATAGCAGTGAGTACTTCTTGGGCCTTTCATCATCTGGCTTCTGCTGCCACTGTGACCTACTATTTCATACTTACATTCTCTAAGTCCTAAATGGTCAAAGTATCCTCCTAGGCAAGTGCTAGCTTTAGTTCCGCAAGTGGCTCTTTAATGCCCTTGGTTTCCATTTTGTGTGCCTAGTGGCCATTTTTTCTGTACGCAGCAGTATAATCCAAATGTTGATGAATTATCATCAATGGAGTCAGAGAAAAAGATTTTACAATGAGTACAAAAAGCCTGTTTTCTTCCACAATAAATTATGAACTAAAGTAAGCCTAACTTTAATAGATATCGCTTTTTCCAGTTCTAGAATTAAATTATGTAAAATATAACTCTTGCCACTTGTAACTTTATTGAAAAAGAAAATAACAGTAAAAAATTTTCAGTAACTATAGAGACATTAGTTATTTATGGACAGTGGATAATGGCGGCAAGCAGCACTGCATAACTATGGTTTAGTAGACTCGCATAGAAGCAGTTGGTTCAAAGGTTTAGCTTGCTGAATCTGGCCATATACCCGATTATGTGAGTAGGTGAGCATTAGAATTTTCTGGAACTTTTTTCTGCCAATGAGGTACATCTCATTCTTCAGGCTCAGTGCAGCAGTAATTGGTAGTTTCACGCCAAACCAGTCTTCTTCCAGTGACTCTGGTTTTGTGCTATTTCCGCTGACTGGGTCATACAAGAAGTATTTTTTTCCTGAGAAAAAAGGATAATGATTTAAAAATACTACATGCAGACTTAATATCATGTCCTAACAAAAACAACCTATGAGCATATAGATAAAGATTTCAAGGGACTAAATGTTGCATAAATCATCTAGTATGTGTTAGAGAATATCATATATAAAATATTTGTTCGGGCAATTTATGTTCTACTTTTCCCGACATGTAAACATGAAATACAAAGGCTTCCTCTCAAACTGAATGTTATGCAGTTGAGTGCACATGAACAATCGGAGAGGTAATTTATACTACAAACTGTTACAGTTAGAGACATGTTGCATATACTATTCAAAATCCACCTTATATACTGAACGCAATGCGTGGATAAGCTCCTGCCCGGTGAGTAAAAATGTAAAGAGTTTTGGTTTAAAGAGACCCTGTCGCCACAGCGGCACTCAAATTTAAAAGCATACCTGCTAAAAGAAGAGGTAATGTACTGACTTTTGTGGTGGCTAGTGTCTTGAAAAGCCGCTGCATCACTGCTTCCCAGCAATGCTTCCCCAATTGCACACATGGGTTTCTCCCACTTGCATCCTGTAGTGACATACAAGCTGGCAGTAGGAACCAGCCTATGGCAGGGGAGCTGGTATTCCACATACCTGGAGGTGTGAAATACTTGCAACAGCCAGGAAGCAGCAAAGCAATGGCATTTCACGACATGAACTGCTGCAAAGGTAAGTATGTTATCTTCTTTTAGCAGGTATGCTTTTGTATACAAATGTCCTTGTGCTGACAGGGTCACTTTAATAATGTCGTCTTCCTCAGAGGGGTTCTGAGGAAGGGGGCGTGCCCCCAGAAACGCGTTAACGCTTGCCACTCGCTGCTGGAAGACGACTTCGGTCGCGAGCTGACTTGGCTGTGCTGTGGCATCTGATGGGCGATAGCCTCCTGTGAGGGGAACCATTGAATATGCTTGTGTCACTTTTCTCTTGTGAGAACATTACCATTTTTTAAAAGCAAATTATTAAACGATCCTTCACATGGAGTGGGCGCTCTCCTTTTTTGTCATTTTATAGAAGTTAAGGTTCTCTGCCTTGTGGAGCTGCCACAGTGTGATCAGGTGGAACCAATTAAGGAGGAAGGCTTGCTATGATTCATTTGCGCTGGGAAGATTTTTGAATACTTTTTTGATTTTACAAGGTTTGGGTGATTTTTTTTACCCCAATATGGTGTATTGTTTTGTTAGACTTCTTCATATTGCATATGTACAATTTATAGTATTGAATATTTGCTACATATTGCTGGGTGTGTGCCACCATTTATTGCAATGTGGAAAACATTCTATAAGACCTTGCAGAAGAAGCTTGAGACCTGGACCAAAATTGGTCAGAAAGATATCAAATCACTAGGTCTTTTGCTGCCCATGCTGGGATAGGTCTTTCCTAACTCAACACAGTGATCTATGAAAGTGTTCACAATTTTTCATCCAAATGAACTGGCATAAACTATGTGGATGTCTATTTGGGACTGCAAAACTGTCACTTTTTCCAAGACTGATATTAACATAGGCTTGAGTCACAGTTATTGGTACCTCCTTTGCATATGTTTTAACACATACATTCTTTTAATATGTAATGTCATACAGTGGGCTTGTGCTAGACTGCATGCTTTGCTCCTGTACCACGTGTGCAGTGCCAGGCATTCCATCATGTATTGCATTCACTTTTTGCTTTCTGGCTGCCCTTATAGTGGTTTAGAACCCCTGGGTTACTTTAAACACGGGACTCTCAAGGTACTCATGTCCTCAGACAATCACCTTTATGCCCCTTCATGGCAGAGCCCACCTCTGAGAGACACCCAGCCTATCCTGACCAGTATTACCAGTAATCTTCCACACACTCTCTTCTTTAGTTGTTACCACAGCAGTCCAGCCCACTCAAGCTTGTTCTCAGGAGAAACCCCCATCTAGAGGTTGGGGAAAGGATCAGACCACACAGAGAGCAATTTCAATATTTCACTAAAAACATTGCTCTGAACAATGTATTACATACTTCAGTCATCCATTTCCTTGGTGATGGCACAACCCATATAAACACATGATGGTTACCAACTATAGTTGAGTGATGAGAATAGTCAAGGTGTAGCCCAGAGCAATGGAGAGGTTATTTCCTAGAGTCTTGCATCCCTCCTTAAGTGAGTAGTCCCTTGTCAAATAGTCCTGCTCCTGTCTCCCTTTGCTTCCCCCTAAGGGGAACCTGACAGAGCTATACAGCGACTACATATTGGTAGGCCTGGTCCTGTGCCTTGCCATGGACAAGCCTGCTGCTTCTTAAAAACCCTGAGCTGCTCCCCAAAAACGATATACTGTAGATGACTGAGCCCTTACAATAGAGCTCCTGGAGCAGAGATCTACCTTTCAACTCCACAGTGACTCCCATAGTCACAAACACTTAACAATTATCTCTGGCACCATGTAGTTGGCAGATAGGGGAGCTACACTCTATCAACTCTGCCCACTATCCTACACTCCCCATAGGAAAATACAGTTCGCCCACCTGCTAAACCTCCCCAAATCTCTCTTTGTGTGCAATCCACCAAGTAAGCTGTACAGTCTTAACAGAGCCTTTGCTATGAAAATAGTGGCTGAGCTGCACAGTGCCCTTACTTGCTAGGATGCAGAAGGGTGCACAATAACAACCTGTGATGCTGTGGGGCCAAGGACATACATGTACATCAATTCAAAACCACAGGCGAGCAGACCGGCCATTTATGTACAACAGTTGGTCCTAAAGTGGTTAAACTACTCTGCATGGCCATTCTAAAACACACACATAGCAATCAGTTTATTACAAGTTTTCATGATTATGTTGTTGGATTAGTTTGCCCCATGGCCTCTTATATGTGGGTCATACAACAAAACCTTTAAGAAAAAGGATAGGGGAACACTTTTAGATTGTATATCCTCAGGGGCAGGGCCCTCCTTACCATCTTGTCTTGAATTGTATTGTGATTGTAATGTCTTCCTTATATTGCAAAGCGCTACGCAAACTGTTGGTGCTATATAAATCCTGTATAATAATAACACCAGCAATTTGTCGCGAAGGGCTCCCTAGAACATAGCATACCACAACATTTTACTTTGAAACAAAAAAAGCACAGAGGGTTTGAAAGTGTTAGCATTGAATATATTCCTACTAGTTTTCCATTAGCGGAAATAATCCGTAGACTCTGCAAACAGAAACTTACTGGATCTAGAAACTATCCATAAATACTATGTCACCATCTGGTCTAAATGAAGAATTGGATGTATAAATTATTCTATACATTATTCCCATGCTTTGCAAATCTCTTACATACTCCACATTGGCAACATTGCTAACATAGTGTTCTTTCAGTGCATTCTTTTTTTTCCCAGTATTATTCATACCCCTTATTTCTAATCCTTTTCTACCCCCAGGTAGTTTACCACATACAATTTTGGTTAACTGTTGGGATTTACTGATGGAATGTATTTTTAAAAAAATGCAATGGATCTTTTTTCCCATGTTGAGTAGGATATATTATTTAACAGCCTTCATTCACTTTGTTCTTTTAACTGGTTCTCCATCTACTGGCTATTTGATTACATACTTTTACATATTTTATATTATTTTTTATTATTAATATTAGCTTTATTTCTACATACAGTATATACTGTATATTTTTATCCCTACGCCTTTTTTCACCTATACAAACATTGCATACAACATATAAGCCTTCCAAAGTATTTATTCGAATTTAACAGGCACATCCTATGTATATTTTTCATCTATTTTATATTCATTTCTTAGGTCACTTAATGCATTTATTTCAAACTCTCTATACATTAAACTAGTGAAGGCTGACGTATTGTTATTTAGGTATTTGCAGGTTTTATAGTTTTAGCGCTGTCCCTCTTTTTTGCTAGCTTTTTATTTTCAGTGCATTTTAGGTTTAAGTTCCCTTATTGTTTTAGCGTGTCTCCCCTTATATTGTACTTTACTGTTGGTTCTATTTGCACTCTGGGACACACCCCTGATTGCCCTCTAGACTTTTCTCCTGCCTCTCGGGCTATTTGTCTGCTGTCAACAGCCCCCTTAACTAGGCCTGAAAAAAGAGGAATAAGTCCTTGAAAAGCACTACAAAAAGACAGAATGCATCCGGAAGTATACTACAAACTCAAGAGGTTTCCATGCAGCCCTGAGTGCACTGTATTTCCCAACAGGGATTCTTGTGATCCTGACTGCATGATTAAAGTGTTGCTGTTGTTAATGTCCTCTGTGTGAGATAGCATACCTCCAAGAAACCAATTTAAAAAAAGACAAATTTACCAAACTCTGACACTTCTCAGAGGCATACCAGTGTCCTTCCATACTTTCTATATTTTCTAAATCAAAAGGCGTCAGCATACTCATCACCAAATGTTCATAACCCAGATACAGGACACCCAGGGCTGATATCTATTCATCAAGGAAAAAATGGGAAACGTCCAGGTCATTTTAACAAATGTTTACCTACCAGATACAGATCAATTAACATCCCTTCTCCCCAGCTACATGACTAGTAATGGCACATTACTCCCGGGAGAAAACTTCAACTTTGCATACGACCCCTTACTTCATGTCTCCAAGTGTCCCTTATATCTTTCCTTTTACTATCTAAAAACACTTAATCAACACATGTCACTTTGCACATCCGCTTGACAAAAAAATTATTTGTTTCTCCTCTGTGCACCAAGCATGTTCCTGGATGGACTTCTTTTTAGAACCACATTAATCTTATCACTTCTGCATCCATCAACAACGTACTGCTTTCAGACTATGCTCACGTCCACTTACTGCATAAACATGTGGCTATCCAACAAAGGAGACCCTTTTGTTTGCTCGGAAATAGTGACTGTAATTCTCCATCAATGGTTCCCCCCACCAACCCCCTCACAGTTTGGGAGGCGCACAAATATGTGAAATGCGGATTTTTTTTATCAAACACTGGATGCAGTTAAAAAAAAAAAAACAGAAAATATTAGCAAACTATTCTACCACACCAAATGAACTTGAATCTGCCAACAAAAAATCCCAACACAAAAAACTTAACAGTTTACCAAACAGATGTCATAACGCAGAAATCAGATGCAGCAGTGAGGAAGAAATGTTGTAATTCTTGGTGTCTCCATGCATCCATGGGGAAGATTCCATATCGTTCCCTCAATTCACTAATTGGTATTATACCCCCTTGCTGTAGGAATTTGCAGCTGCGTACATCTCTTTAAAGTGCCCACTTTTAAAGAGAGTTGTTCAACTTGGAGAGACCACATAAATCCCCCTACTGGAGAAAGTGGGGCATTAGAGGGATTAGACAATCCCTCTGTTCATTGTTTCCCACAGGTTGAGAGCATCATGGGTCATAAGGGAGGCGATGTCACATAAATTTACATGGCGACCATTGGGCATGAGTCAGGTTTCTGTCTGCCATAAATGTTTCCAATGAACTTGGAGGAAACATGAAAGTGCCAGTTCACTATTCTTTGGAGCACGATTGCTTTGTAGTAAAGGTGGACATCTGGAATTCCCAAGCCTCCCAACTCCATGGGCCCCCACAAAACTTTGTAAGCGAACTGTAGCCTTTTGTTTTTTCAAAGAAAACAAAGAAACTGGCTTTTGAGCTTTGCAAACAATACTTTGGGAAAAGAAATGGGGATCATCTGTAGGTAGAACAGAACTCGGAGCAGCACATACATGTTTAGAATGTTTATTCTACTGGGCCATGTGAAAGGGGACAGGTTTCAGCCAGAGAGATCCTTTGCTATAGTGTAAATCAGAGGCTTGTAATTATTAGCATATAGACGGTGGTAATGTTTTGTCAATTGTATGCCTAGGTATCTAATGCAGCCTGAGGACCATGAAAATCAAAAAGACTGCTGTGGTTGTAATGTCAAGGATGGGGGGGGGATTGTGAGTGGTAGGATTTCTGACTTGTGCAAAAAATTTGGGAGGGTAATGATGGGGTCGGTGACAGCTTATGTTCCTGAGAGCATATATAGACCCCATACATCTCTGGATTTTTTTGTCATGCACCAAAATACTGCTGTTCATGCCATCAGTGACATTGTCTAACAATTAATCTGTTGAACTCATTAAGAGCAGACAATTACATTCTACAAGGGGAGGACTAGCTACCCTGGAATTACATTAAAACCACGGACCCATTTCTGCATGTGTTGATGCCAATTCCCTTCCCTCGGCCCTGAGACTAGGGGATCAAAACTCTACCCAGGGAAACCCTAAACCTCTTTACAGCAAAAGCTAAACACCTGGGTACCAATTTCTTTCTAGCTAACCATACAAAGACCCCCCCACACACCTGCTTTGCACTTTACATCTACATTATCCCACTCACTGACCCTCTGGGATAGATTACGAAAACAATACTGCTGTAAACTTTTTGCTGCCAGAGAATTTTTTGCATTTATGTTAAAATGCACATTTCAAGCCTGAAAGCAGAGACCCTGCAGAAAAAAATGGTGACAGTTGCAAATATTTATGTCACACGATAATTGCGCTACTGTTTATGAAATAAATAGAAGTTACATAATAAAATACAGTTAAATAAACAAACGCAAAATAATACCTAATTTCATGCTAAGAAAAAAAAAGATGAATTTGCGATGAGTAAAGCAATACCAAATATGTCAAGTCTCAAAATTGTGTCTGCTTGAAAAATGGAAAAAGACTACAGTAACCCAAATTATACATAGGTGATGCTTTAAAAGCCTTTACAGATTATTCATTTAGAGTTAGCCATGAATGATGGGCCAATAATTATTGCTCTCACTTCGTCTGTGGCGCAATCAATGTTTTCATACGCATGCACATGTTTGCATCTATAAGTATGTTGGGGTTGGGGACTTTGAAATTATCCATAGGTGATGTTGTAAAAGCATTTACAGATCATCAATTTAGAGTTAGCCATGAATGATGGGCCAATAATTATTGCTCTCACTTCATGTGTGGCGATACCTATTATGTGTGGCGCAATCAAAGTTTTCATATGCATGCACACCCAATGCACATGTTTGCTTCTGAAAGTACGTTGGGGTGGGGGACTTCGAAATTTTTTGGAGTGTTTTTTAATTTACTTTTTAAACATTTTTTTTTTCTCTTAAGGAGACCTGAGGGGTCTAGTGCCCTAATGTCACCTCTGCACGCTGTTGAAGAGAATCGAGCAGAAACTATGCTAGATCAGCTTCTTCCTGGACAATATCGTCCTGGGTTTAACTGCACTGAACCTGGAAGTGCTCACAGCTGAGTGCTCCCAGGTTTATAGTACCCAGAGTAGATCAGCAAATGGATGTTCACTGATCTTCCAGTGCTCTCCATATTGACACCTGCTATGATGGTTACAGGCACCCAGAAAGAACAGATGAACCTTTCCTACATGTCAAAGTGATCAGGCAGCCCCAAAGTGATCAGGCAGGTTCTAAATCCAACCTGTGCAGATTTGCCCAACCTTACTCTTGACTTCCTATTATACATATTATTGACAATATAATACTGTCATTTTTTTAAATAAGTTTTTAATTTACTCTTTTGAGCCAGTTACAAATTTTGACCCAGTAGCCTATTTTTCCTCTAACCTACAGCAGAATGAAACTGCAAAAAAATGTCATGCACAGGTCATGCAGCTTGGTGAGATCAGTCTAACGTACTGGAAAATACAGTAGTCTGCACCATGAGCTGGTAGGTCCACTGTACAAATCAAATATCTGCTATTCACTAGAGTGACAAACATCAGCATATCTGAAGACCAGCTGGGATTATAACTTTTGAGCTGCATATATGTGTCAGTTGGTGATTTAATTTATAAAATTAAAATGTTACCTTTGATAAAAAATATCCTCTCTTCCCGAATAACTTTACCTCCCTTAGCTACAATGGCAGGCTGAGTGAATGCAGCATCTACGCTGTGTGGAATACCAGGAAATCCTTCTTTTATCGCTTTTGGATAGCCTGCTTCAATTTTATCATTTTCATACTTCCAATATTTAGTTCCCTGTACAAATGTAAAAGTAGTACAAATGTTAAACTCTGCCAATAAAACTTTAGCAAATAATTCTAATGGGAGGAATAAGAAGAATCAATTGTTTAATGCTATAACCTGGTAGATTTCCAGAAACACATTTGTTGGAGACAAATTTTACCATCATGGGACTGGTACTGAAGAGAATCTATGACAGCATTTAAATCAATGCACTACCAATGTAACTGCTATTTTAACTTATTTAAACAAACAACTTAAGAAACTTTAATTTGTTTAGTCATAAGACATAGCTATTTTAGTATCTAACCTACCTTACTGCTGGCCCTATGTGTAGTAATTTTCAGTCAGTTTCTGCCCATTTTGATCCATTAGGAACAGTAAATACAATCAAAAGGTAATGTCATAAACTAAGGAATAGACCACCAGAATGCAGTTGACTGTCTGAAGACAAAATGTGTCTTTTAATGTTTAAAATGTTAAGTTGATTGATTTTATTTCATTTGCAAATTGTGCACATTCACATACAAACTGAAATTTGAAAGCACACGTAATATGACATTTTTCTAGTTAATTTTCCTTGGTAACATTTTTCATTAGTCAATCAAATTGGCACAGATAAATTGTGATTGTCACATTAAACATTAAACATGACTTTAAAGTAAACACTGCAAAAAAAACCCCAAAAAAACAAAATATGTGCTTACTGAAGATGCACTATGTTTTTTTTGGTCCACAGAAAGAAAAAGATTCCCAGAAATGGGAATCTATTGCAAGGGCTGTGCATGTATTTTTTAATTTTAAAATAATGTTACCCTCATCCACTTTTACCTAAATGTAAGGCCCGCCCCCCAAAAAATAAAAATAAATGTGTGTGTGTGTGTGTGTGTATAGACCACCAGAATAGACCACCATATATATATATATATATGTATATATATATATATATATATATAGTGAAATACCTACCGAAATGGTTAAACAGGCCACTTGCATAATGTCAGAGCAATCTTTGAGTAAACATGGACATTGCAATTGGACTTTTGTGTACAGTAGTGTATAGCGACAGGATCAAGGTTGTGTACATACTATCTACTGACTTTTAAGTTCAAAAGAGTATTTCTTTGTACACGTTAAACGTTAAAAATCTGCAAGAACGGTCATGCACCAAATATACAGATAAAGTAACTGTGTGAATCGACACACAGGGGTTGATTTAACGTATAGTATTCATAGTTACATAGTAGATAAGGTTTTAAAAAGATATAGGTCCATCCAGTCCAACCTATGTGTGTGTGCACGTCGGTTTATTTGTGTGACAATTTGTTTTTTTAAGAGTATGTATATATTTTTATATCATGCTCAGTGAGGAAGACATCTAGAAGTGTTTTAAATTTGTCAGTACTGCTAGCTGATACCACGACTTGGGGAAGAGAGTTACATGTTTTTGCTGCTCATAAATAAAGGTCTCTGTAATTTAAGAATTTAAGATTAACCCCTTTCTCCTTCAGCCTTAAATTGTGACCACATATCCTCATATTGTTACCGGCTTTACAGTCACCATTGAATAACATGTACAGAGTAATCATATCTTCACTTACGTGCTTCCTCTCTAAGGGAAATAGAACATCCCTTCTGTTGCCTGGTGACCAAAATTGGACTGCTTACTTAATATGAGGCCAAACCAGCATTTTGTAAAAGGACAAGATTATCAATTTATTCCTTGAATAAATACCATAGCAGCTGTCTGACATTGCGTGCTATTACTATTACTTTTATTATTAGAGGTCCACTAGGATCCCAAAATCATTTTCCATCTCTGAGTCTCCCAGTGTAAACCCTCCTAATGAGAATGTTGACTGAAAATTTTTAGCACCAAAATGCATAACTGCATCCCCTTCTTTATCTCGGTCTTCCTGCTAGCTGTTGCTACAGTACATCCTGTGCTGAAGCAATAGAGAAACTGAACTCTTAATTCCAACCTCAGTGTTGTTTATAATTAAACAGAATTTGTCCCAAGTAAGAACTCTACACACAGAACCCTAGCCCACTCAGAGGCTGAATCATTTACCACTACTCTCTGTACCCATTCTTGAAGCCAGCTTTTATCCATGTACATATAGCTGACTCCACTTCATTAAATCTTAAAAAAGTTTTTAGATAAATCATTTGTGGGGCACATTGTCAAATGCTTTTGCAAAGTCCAGATAACTTACGTCTACTGTCCTTCTTTATTTTAAACTACTAATAACGTCTTCTTAAAATGTTAACAGTTTAAGACAAGAGTATTTTGTTTTTTTATAAATCCATGTTGATTGTCACTTAAAATAAGAATTTCTATTTTCCAAGATTAAAATATAAAATACAGAGTCGGGTAAATAGACACCAAACATATCAAGCTTTAAAATTGTGCGCGCCCCTGAAATTGCAGAAAACGACCACACCCAAAATTGGCCATGGGCGACGCTTTAAAAGCTTTTACTGCTCATCAGTTTAGTGTTATCAGTAATTAATGGCCCTAAAATTATTGCTCTCACTCCGACATTCGCGGCGATATGTAACATGTGCGGCACAATAGGCGGAATCGTCATTTTCGCACGTTGGCGCACCCGACGCATGTTTGCGCGTGTTATTTTACTTTTTTTTATTTGTGACTTTTTTTAGCTTGTTTATTTTTTTGTATGCTTTAATTTTTTTTAAACTTATTTTTTTACACTTAACTTTATTGCTATCACATAGGGGACCAAGACATTTCCTATGTGATAGCCAATTTACATTACAAGTCCTCATTATGGAGACATCAGGGGTCTCTAAGACCCCTAATGTCACCTAGGGACCCCCAGAGAAGCTGATGAAGCAAAGATCTGCTTCATCAGCTTCTCACCGGTGTTCTTTACCCGGAGAGTGACACTGAATGCAGGAAGAGATGTAGTATACATCACTTCCTGCATTCGGGGACAAAGAAGAGATCAAAGGGAGATCGTGTACTGATCTCCGTTTGATCTCCACTGAGAGTATCGCCGTGTCGGTCGCAGCCAGACCGGCCACAGCGGAGGTACGGGGGGGCGCACACCCGCAGCTCCTGCAAGCGATCGGGCTTGAATGTAAACAGCCATCGCTGGCCATTTACATGCTTACAGTTTCCCCGCTCGCGTGCACGCTGAGTGCCGGACACGAGCGGGGGAGAGGCAGGACGTCTTAAGACGCCCTCACACGTTTACAAAAAATAAATAAAAATAACATATTACATTTTTTTTTTAAAGTTAGAATAAAAAACAAACATTTTCGGTTTCGGCCTGACATTTTTTTTCATTTCAGTTTCGTTTCGGTTTTGAAATTTTCATTTCGGTGCACCTCTAGTTTTGATGAAAAATTGCATTCGAATTGACGTTGAACAATCAGATTGCAATGTGTGTGGACAGCATTAGTGTTCTCTGCGTTTGTGCCATCAAAAGCTGGTTGCAAGTGACCATTGCCACTTTATTAAAGTAGCACTTTTATCCGAAAATTACCTTGAAAAAGAAGATTTTTCCATCTTGGTCAGCAACTGGGTTTTGCATCCTTATTGCAGCATCAATGGAAGCTGGGAGCTCTTTCCATTTAGAAGATATCAGCTGCGGGTGTTTTTTCTTTGGTGCCATTGGCAGTTTGCCATGGCTAAGGTCCCAGAAATATTCACCTATAAAATATGTTGTGTGATAATAAGGTAATTTGCACACTCCAAATAATGTTATTAGAATATCTCATCATTAATACTTTTGAGCTATAACACAATAACACATATGTTAGGGGTTCTTTACTATATACATAGCTACAAGCAGAACAGTCAAAGAAAATCATAAGGATCTTAATTTAAAAAAATGTTTTAAGAAAAATGGCAAATTACAAACAACTAGTGAGATTTTTTTCTGCTATTGTTTTTGTACAAACAAAACATGTAAATGTGGTACAGTTACTGAAAATTTTAACTTCGACCATGTCAACAGATCAACTAACAATACTGGGGAGTGGGAAGACATCATAGTTAAGTGACCTGATTGCTGATTGGTTAGCAGTATCGAGTTACTAGAATTTTCAGTACAACTGTAGAGGGCTTGTTTATTTATGGGCTTGTGTTACTTTTTCCTTTTTAGATAATGATAATGGCCTGCATCATAGAAGCCCTTGAACCTGTTTCACCTGAGAATCCAAATTTTATTTTGTGACAGTTTGCAGTGAATGCAGAAGAAATAGAGCTGTTTGTGCTCTATAAAAAGTAAGACATGAGCTGTTTTCTTTGATGACTATTGAAAAAAGGATCTGAAAAGACTACCATTGGAAGACTACTTGGCTAGTAGTTTATCAATACATGTTAACCACATGGACAGTGAGTACATACTATAGAGATATTTTAGTAGATTCTGTGAACAGGACTAGCAATTCTTTGTTGTGTGTGTGCAGTTTGGATGTGGTGGCACCCCGATTTAGCTTGCTTCTAATGACAGATATGTCACTTTTGATGGTGATGGTAAATAGTGTTTTTTTTTTAGGAGAACTCTATTCAACATGGAATTATTAAAACAGTGCCATTTGTTTCCTCCTAACAATAATGCCACCCTAAAATTATAAAAGCAAAATATAAAAAAAGTAGACCAAGGGGCTTTAATGCAGCATTGAGGACACATTTTCATATACTGTAAAACTTAAAATGTCTAAAACCTTGTTATTAAACAGCATATTAAAACATATTAAATTGCAAGTCCAATACACAGTTCCATCTTTTATGGATTAAAAAAGCTTACAGTACATATACTTAACTTCGTTACGCAAGATTGCATTCACGGCACTCTCATCTGAAGAGCCTTATTGCCTTATTCTTCCGCACAAAGTGCTCCTGCCTTCCTCACCAGGGTTCCAGCCTAAAGTCTCCTCAGTGTACCACTTAAATTGGCTATCAGTCTTACCAGCTCAGTAAGGTGACCAGTTGGAGTTTTTCCAATACATTTATCAGATGTATTATCTGCCTCTTGTTATTTTGGCAGCTCAATCCTTTCTACTGCCTTCTCTGAATAGCAAAATTCTATTGTAGCACTAGTCTCTAGTGTTTTTTTTCTTTTCCCTCCCATTTGAGATATTGCTTGTTACGTCCTGAAAATGCGTGGTGCTACTTACTACTCCTCTTTCTTATATATTCCACTATATACACAAAGTGTATTCCCAAGAAGTTATTATTGCATACTCACTCAGCAACTTAGAGATTTGTATGAGACCGGTAACATCATATAACCGTTAGTGTGGCTTAATGGGGTTGAAAACACAAGATGAGAGTAGGTTTAGCATCCAATGCACTCTGCCCCACAGTAGTAATAATTTGTTATAGATTGATCAGGTGAGTATACAGTCCAAGCATGTCAGTGGTGTGGCAATGGTTACTGACTATAACCCTTAGCAGATTACTAATGTCTCCTAAAGGCAACACTCTCCTCCGTACAGCAAGGCAATCTTTTCCCCAACACAACAAGACCAGTCCCTGGAAGCAGGCACTCAGGTGAATAGCCTTTTACACACAGCTACTGACAGTTCTTAACCAAGCTTCAATAGGGTGGTAAAAATGACAGGTTTTGGTATATGCAGTATGGAGGCAAGCTGTGCCTCTGATAACCCGGGTACTTGCGGTTCCTTGCTGGAGGTGGATCGCAGGATGGTCTCGCTCCTTTCCTCAATCACAGTGGAGGAGTAGTGAAGGTAGGGTGGCAGTCCCTCGATCGGTCTGCGACTGCAGGGAAGTGAATCTTCAACGTTCACTGTCACCAACAGTTGGACGCCGAAGATTCAACTGACCGCGGCTTAAGGAGGCTTGTGCGCGTGCGCTGGAGGGAGGAGCTAGGTTACGCCGGGCGCGTGCGCGGCCCCCGCATCGCGGCCCCAGAACGATATGGGGTAAGTTTCTTACAACAGTACAATAAAGATGAGGGGAGAATAAGAAGTGGAATCTCTTAAAGTCCCTTGTAAATAGTTACAATGGCAGAAGTAAATAAGAAGTGTGAGATTAAGTTAACTTGTCGGTGTGAGAAGGGAAGAATATATGACTAATGTGAAGGAGGGAACTGGTAACCAGGGAGAAGATTAATAATAGACGTAGCAGAGAGGAAGAGTTTGTCCATCAGCATGAGAGAGAAAGGGCTTGTCACTAAGATGAGGGAGGATATTGGTTGCCATGGAAAAAATACAAAATATGTGCATGTAGTGAGAGATCTACACACACGCCTGCAGCTCCTGGCGAGGAGGCAGAGGAGGCTCCTGGCAGAGCTGGCCCATAGTAGGCTATCATAAGGAGTAAACAGGATAGGAGAATTACGGTAAGTATTTGATAAAGAATTTCCTGTAATATATTGAAGCCTTAGAGCCCAATATTTTCAGGTACCGTATATATAGCATTTAATATAAATAATGCCCATGCCTAAGATATATAAACCTGATGGTTAGTCAATTCACTATGGGGGTTACTCACAAAGCTGCCAAAGGCAGCCGAGTGAATAACCCAGCCGAAGTGAAGTGAGCCGAACTACGTTCAGCTACTCACTCCGGCTCAGTACGGCTGATTTCAGCCGTACATTGGCTGAAATCAGCCGTACATCAGCTGCCTTCGGCTGCACTTCGACTCAGCCGATTCAACATCTGGATCGGCTAAGCCAAAGCTCTGGCAGCTCACTTGCTGCCATTCGCCCCTATTCACATAGGGGCCAAACAGCAATGAATGAATAGCCGAATGCAGCCGAGCGGCATTAGGCTCGGCTACTCTGCTCAGTACCTCCGTGGTACTGAGCAGAATAGAAAATCAATGAAAAAAGTCGGGGGGAAAAAAAAGGTTGAAAAATGTTAAAGATGTAAATAAATAGTAAACATTTAAAAATAAATAAAGATTTTTTTTAAACAGAAAAAAACAATTGGGGAGGAGCTAGCAGTGACCGCTAGCTCCGCCCAACTGTTTCCTATTGGCCGGTACCTGATAGAGTCTTCTAGCAGGTGCCAGCCAATGAATAACAACTAGGCAGAGCCGGCTGCAAAATCACGGCCGTTTGCCCCCTGCTTTGAGTGTCACTTCCGCATATGCCTTCGGCTTGGCTGTGCCACCCGGCAGCCTTCGGCTGCTGTACGGGCTATAGTGAATTGCTCGTACTGCAGTCCTTCGATTCAACCGAAGCGAGCCGAAGGATCAGCCGAAGCTACGGCTGGATCTCTATCGGCAGCTTTGTGAATTACCCTTTACGTGTTTTGGATAGAATAAATCACATTTGGCAGATAAATCATCCTTTGACATTCCATATAATTGCAGTAGGAACAGAGACCACATTTAAAAGTGCCCAAAGGCAATGTTGTACAAGGATCCCTTTTTTCTTAGACTCCAAATGACTTGGCACTAGCATATTGCGCACTAAAGTGCTCCTTTTGAAAATAATCCATTATTCTTCAACAACAAATTGTTTTTATGTTGCCATTTGTTAAAATGGGCCAGTGCTTTTGCATAATATGTCTAATCTCCAGAGCTTCATTGTCAAAAGGGGTTAAAATTCTATTTTTTTGAGTTTCCAAAGTTACAAAATAGGTTTCTTAGCAATCGGTATAGCAGAAGCTGCCAGAAGACATTTTATCGCTGGACGAAAAACAGCCCTTGTGATTTACTGTTATTTCAGGGAGAGAAACATTTGGAAACTCAAAAAAGATGACTGATAACCCCTTATAACAACAAAGCTAAGAAGATTAGATTGATTATGCAAACGTTCTGGCACATTTTAACAGATGACAACATAGTAAATCATCATTACCTTGGGTACTTTTAAATGTGGTCCCTGTTCTTACTGTAAATATATAGATTGTGCTAGGGCACATATATGCGGGTTTTGTCCAGTCAATGCAACCTGGGGTCCTGGCTGTTTTAGAGGTGGAAAAGCTCTGTACCTTGTAGAACATATGTATGAACATATATTTGACATGTATTGTATCATGTGTGTAACATAAGTATTTATTTTATGTATTTTAACTTTAGTTTTTTTGTCTTAATTAGGGTTCAGGCTTAATGTACTTATACAAGTAAACCCAGTCCTGAGGAAGTAAATATTGCCAAACGTTATCGACTGTGGACAGTA